ATATAGGCCTATATATGTGTGTATGTATGTATACATAGGCCTATGTTTATATATATACATATATACATGGTAAGTTATATATTTATATATATATATATATATATATATATATATATCTTCTATATATACATATTTATATATATATATTTATGTATATATATATACATACATACATACATATATATATGCTAATGATTTGCATTTCTATGAACCAACTGAATGTTCAAAATGTTTATTGTTTTTTAAGCCTAAATTTTACTTAATGCAGATAAATTGTGTACAATAGGCGGAAGCAAGTTTGGCGGTGTGTTAACACGGATGAAGGAAACCCATTACTAGCAGATTTGAAATTACTTAAGTCACCAACATGCATCCGATGTCAAATGTTCAACTTATTCCTCTAATAATAATAATAATATTCGAACTGTTTCGTTTACTTTGGCAAGGACTTTTTCCTGCACGTTTTCTGTTTTGTATATAATTAATCTATAAGCCTCTTAATGAATCTTTTTTAGTTTATATCGAGCATCGCATTATTTCTTTAGGCCTAAAGACTAGGACACCCGCTTTTCAGCCGACCTTACTAGAATAAGCGGGAAGGGTCACCCACCCTTAGTTTTCAACAACTTCAACCCTGATATAGGCATCATAGTAGTAAAACATGCACATAGGGGGCCTATTAAGTTTGGTACCATATGATATACCAGCAACAGTAAATACAATACATATTTCTTTACTCCAATTTTTATTAATAATAAAATACATACGAGTAACTATCATATGACTTAGAGTGTCTGATAACATGGTTATAGTCCCTTGTTAAAAATTGTTTTAAAAACAATGCTCGAATAATTGCCATTCGAGGGTTAGCCACCAATATATTAGAAACATTGATTAAATTTTCCTAGCAAAAAAAAACAAACTTAAAACTAAAAAAAAAATTAAAAACTCCTAGCACAGTAACAGCAAGTGAATCGCCAAATACAGAATGGAAGAAATCGTATAACAAACGTGCTCCACATAATCTGAGATAGTTGTCTCAGACATGGTTAATGCTCATTGTGTGTCTTTAGCAGAGGATTTAATCGTGAGAAATGAAACATGTACCGTAACAGGGATTGAACCCTAGACATATGGGATTGTAAGGCAAGCATATTAACCACCAAGCTACAGTACAAAATGATAACTGAATAGAGGCATGTACGCAGATATTTCCAACGATGGCAACTGGGTGCCAGCAATTTATATCAGTTGATAAGCCAGAGGCTCCACTACTAATGCACTGCGGAGAAAAAGACGTTACCTCTACTCGGGAACTGAAAATCAGACAACCTAGATATTACATCAATCAGGCAACAATTTAAACAGCCCCAATTAACAAGAGTTTTTTTTTTTTAAACTAAGAAATCGACCTTCTTATCCAAATCTCTCTAAATGTCTTCCATCGATTCACAGCTCTATTATTAGGATTAACTTTAAAATCATGGCACGCGCTCAATTCTGGTGGTGCAATCTTTAAAACTACGTCTAAAATCGAACTGGTTTGTCGCAAACATATCACATGAAGTTTGTTTTATTAATTATTTTCCTCGGTTGATCGCAACTAATCACACACAGAAGAACAAAGCTGGGTGATTCCGTTACAATGATAATGTAAACCAACGTTCAGAAAAAACAATGATGGCATTAATTGATTTTGAATTCGTCTTCTACGATAAATCATGTTCTGTAATTGGCTTGACTACTGTAGCCAAATACAGGACAAAACCTTTAGTCGAGGAGCTCATCGACTAATCCTGAAAACGCTGTGTTTGCCTTGTTGACGCTCCATATACAGCTGGCGTACATGAGTGAGTCGGTGTATGATTTGACCTTCTTGGATGAATGTTAAATGACAGACAATTTTAGGAGTACACTATCCATGAAAATGACGTCAAAAGTCCAGTTATTACGTTTACTTAAATGGGAAAATATCAAACACAATTATAACGGAGAAACGCGTGGAATTCACACTTGACTTACGGGTGTCATCATTTGTGATCAATGGCCCACTGTATACATGGAGCGTATATAGATCGAAAACAGGATGACAGAAGGGAATAATGGCCGTCGTTTCTGAGTCTCGTTTTAGTAATTGAATTAGTAATGTTATTTTGGCACCTATTTTCAAGGATACTTTTAACACGACCGAGTTAATATGCCTGTAAGCCTACACTTTTTTTTTAAATTTCAAACCATCATATAAGCACTTTTTTATAAGAACCACCTAAGTAGAATTTTGCCCAGGCTCAGTGTTCTTATATTTTTGTCGATTTGTATTGTAAGATTT